CTTTTCCTGTCACTACCTGACTATATACGAACATTTTCTATTAAAAAAGTAACAGTGAAAAAGGCGAAGTTGAATAATTTAAGAAAAACCTAATCTAAGTAGACAAACTTAATCTAGTAAAATTCTTAGTCGTCTTACGTGTTTTTATGCTTGTATGCGTGATGTTAGGATGCAAGGTATGAAAAACAAACGTGTTCACTAAAGCTATTTTGTTCTTTATGCAAAATTTTATTACACTATGACAATTTAAAGTTAGTGTTTTAAAACTGAAATTCAAATGTGTATGTGTGTGCGTGGGGGGGGGGGAGTGGAAAAGAGCCACAGTTTCTTGAGTCTACAAAGTTTCTTAAGTGACGCACACCAATTGTGAGTCCACATAATTGCTAAGTGACGCCAGCCAATTAGACGCATTAGCAGTATCAGTCAATTTGAAAAAAAAAATTACCGACTAACATGCCTCAATTTATAGAGCGGACGCATTTCAACAAGTATACGAAAAAGTTCAATAAAAACATCCAACCCTCCGCAGGTTTGAACCCTCTTATTTTTTTGCGGGTCTCCTTTCCTACCTTTACGCTACAGACCCATGATACCTTGAAGCTAAAGTGCTATTTGTAATACAATATTCTGTGTTAATATCTTTAGCATTGGCTGTACTTAATAGCTTGTTATTGATCAAAATGAACAATTTCAAAATGAACACATTTTCTCGCAACAATATTTGCGACTTAGGTTGAAAAAAAAGAGAGATCATACTATCACACAAGCTTTGCTTGAGTAAATTTTAGTGCAGTATATTTCCTAGAGCAGTCAACGAAACAAAATAAATGAAAAATTTCGCGTTTTTGCGAGAAAACTTTTTCAAGTAAGTGTTTTCAATTTTTTCATGTGTTTCATACCATATAAGCAATAGCTTATATTGCATCTTGAAATTTGTTTACATCTCAAAACTGCGGTCTCGATTTACTCGCAAAGTTTCTTGATGCAATGTTTAGCTGATGCCTATCTACTACAAAAATGAATTTCAAACCTGCGGTCTAATTGAGACAAAGGGAAATTTCTGAACAAAAATCCTGCTTTAAAAATAGAAATAAGGTTCACAGCCAAATTTTTTAGATCCTTGGCTCGAACGCGATCGCCAAATAACGGCGATGATAAACACTTTTCCTGTCACTACCTGACTATATACGAACATTTTCTATAAAAAAAGTAACAGTGAAAAAGGCGAAGTTGAATAATTTAAGAAAAACCTAATCTAAGTAGACAAACTTAATCTAGTAAAATTCTTAGTCGTCTTACGTGTTTTTATGCTTGTATGCGTGATGTTAGGATGCAAGGTATGAAAAACAAACGTGTTCACTAAAGCTATTTTGTTCTTTATGCAAAATTTTATTACACTATGACAATTTAAAATTAGTGTTTTAAAACTGAAATTCAAATGTGTATGTGTGTGCGTGGGGGGGGGGGGGAGTGGAAAAGAGCCACAGTTTCTTGAGTCTACAAAGTTTCTTAAGTGACGCACACCAATTGTGAGTCCACATAATTGCTAAGTGACGCCAGCCAATTAGACGCATTAGCAGTATCAGTCAATTTGAAAAAAAAATTTACCAACTAACATGCCTCAATTTATAGAGCGGACGCATTTCAACAAGTATACGAAAAAGTTCAATAAAAACATCCAACCCTCCGCAGGTTTGAACCCTCTTATTTGTTGCGGGTCTCCTTTCCTACCTCTACGCTACAGACCCATGATACCTTGAAGCTAAAGTGCTATTTGTAATACAATAGTCTGTGTTAATATCTTTAGCATTGGCTGTACTTAATAGCTTGTTATTGATCAAAATGTACAATTTCAAAATGAACACATTTTCTCGCAACAATATTTGCGACTTAGGTTGAAAAAAAAGAGAGATCATACTATCACACAAGCTTTGCTTGTGTAAATTTTAGTGCAATATATTTCCTAGAGCAGTCAACGAAACAAAATAAATGAAAAAATTCGCGTTTTTGCGAGAAAACTTTTTCAAGTAAGTGTTTTCAATTTTTTCATGTGTTTCATACCACATAAGCAATAGCTTATATTGCATCTTGAAATTTGTTTACATCTCAAAACTGCGGTCTCGATTTACTCGCAAAGTTTCTTGATGCAATGTTTAGCTGATGCCTATCTACTACAAAAATGAATTTCAAACCTGCGGTCTAATTGAGACAAAGGGAAATTTCTGAACAAAAATCCTGCTCTAAAAATAGAAATAAGGTTCACAGCCAAATTTTTTAGATCCTTGGCTCGAACGCGATCGCCAAATAACGGCGATGATAAACACTTTTCCTGTGACTACCTGACTATATACGAACATTTTCTATAAAAAAAGTAACAGTGAAAAAGGCGAAGTTGAATAATTTAAGAAAAACCTAATCTAAGTAGACAAACTTAATCTAGTAAAATTCTTAGTCGTCTTACGTGTTTTTATGCTTGTATGCGTGATGTTAGGATGCAAGGTATGAAAAACAAACGTGTTCACTAAAGCTATTTTGTTCTTTATGCAAAATTTTATTACACTATGACAATTTAAAGTTAGTGTTTTAAAACTGAAATTCAAATGTGTATGTGTGTGCGTGGGGGGGGGGGAGTGGAAAAGAGCCACAGTTTCTTGAGTCTACAAAGTTTCTTAAGTGACGCACACCAATTGTGAGTCCACATAATTGCTAAGTGACGCCAGCCAATTAGACGCATTAGCAGTATCAGTCAATTTGAAAAAAAAAATTTACCGACTAACATGCCTCAATTTATAGAGCGGACGCATTTCAACAAGTATACGAAAAAGTTCAATAAAAACATCCAACCCTCCGCAGGTTTGAACCCTCTTATTTTTTTGCGGGTCTCCTTTCCTACCTTTACGCTACAGACCCATGATACCTTGAAGCTAAAGTGCTATTTGTAATACAATATTCTGTGTTAATATCTTTAGCATTGGCTGTACTTAATAGCTTGTTATTGATCAAAATGAACAATTTCAAAATGAACACATTTTCTCGCAACAATATTTGCGACTTAGGTTGAAAAAAAAGAGAGATCATACTATCACACAAGCTTTGCTTGAGTAAATTTTAGTGCAGTATATTTCCTAGAGCAGTCACCGAAACAAAATAAATGAAAAAATTCGCGTTTTTGCGAGAAAACTTTTTCAAGTAAGTGTTTTCAATTTTTTCATGTGTTTCATACCACATAAGCAATAGCTTATATTGCATCTTGAAATTTGTTTACATCTCAAAACTGCGGTCTCGATTTACTCGCAAAGTTTCTTGATGCAATGTTTAGCTGATGCCTATCTACTACAAAAATGAATTTCAAACCTGCGGTCTAATTGAGACAAAGGGAAATTTCTGAACAAAAATCCTGCTCTAAAAATAGAAATAAGGTTCACAGCCAAATTTTTTAGATCCTTGGCTCGAACGCGATCGCCAAATAACGGCGATGATAAACACTTTTTCTGTCACTACCTGACTATATACGAACATTTTCTATAAAAAAAGTAACAGTGAAAAAGGCGAAGTTGAATAATTTAAGAAAAACCTATCTAAGTAGACAAACTTAATCTAGTAAAATTCTTAGTCGTCTTACGTGTTTTTATGCTTGTATGCGTGATGTTAGGATGCAAGGTATGAAAAACAAACGTGTTCACTAAAGCTATTTTGTTCTTTATGCAAAATTTTATTACACTATGACAATTTAAAGTTAGTGTTTTAAAACTGAAATTCAAATGTGTATGTGTGTGCGTGGGGGGGGGGAGTGGAAAAGAGCCACAGTTTCTTGAGTCTACAAAGTTTCTTAAGTGACGCACACCAATTGTGAGTCCACATAATTGCTAAGTGACGCCAGCCAATTAGACGCATTAGCAGTATCAGTCAATTTGAAAAAAAAAATTTACCGACTAACATGCCTCAATTTATAGAGCGGACGCATTTCAACAAGTATACGAAAAAGTTCAATAAAAACATCCAACCCTCCGCAGGTTTGAACCCTCTTATTTTTTTGCGGGTCTCCTTTCCTACCTTTACGCTACAGACCCATGATACCTTGAAGCTAAAGTGCTATTTGTAATACAATATTCTGTGTTAATATCTTTAGCATTGGCTGTACTTAATAGCTTGTTATTGATCAAAATGAACAATTTCAAAATGAACACATTTTCTCGCAACAATATTTGCGACTTAGGTTGAAAAAAAAGAGAGATCATACTATCACACAAGCTTTGCTTGAGTAAATTTTAGTGCAGTATATTTCCTAGAGCAGTCACCGAAACAAAATAAATGAAAAATTTCGCGTTTTTGCGAGAAAACTTTTTCAAGTAAGTGTTTTCAATTTTTTCATGTGTTTCATACCATATAAGCAATAGCTTATATTGCATCTTGAAATTTGTTTACATCTCAAAACTGCGGTCTCGATTTACTCGCAAAGTTTCTTGATGCAATGTTTAGCTGATGCCTATCTACTACAAAAATGAATTTCAAACCTGCGGTCTAATTGAGACAAAGGGAAATTTCTGAACAAAAATCCTGCTCTAAAAATAGAAATAAGGTTCACAGCCAAATTTTTTAGATCCTTGGCTCGAACGCGATCGCCAAATAACGGCGATGATAAACACTTTTCCTGTGACTACCTGACTATATACGAACATTTTCTATAAAAAAAGTAACAGTGAAAAAGGCGAAGTTGAATAATTTAAGAAAAACCTAATCTAAGTAGACAAACTTAATCTAGTAAAATTCTTAGTCGTCTTACGTGTTTTTATGCTTGTATGCGTGATGTTAGGATGCAAGGTATGAAAAACAAACGTGTTCACTAAAGCTATTTTGTTCTTTATGCAAAATTTTATTACACTATGACAATTTAAAGTTAGTGTTTTAAAACTGAAATTCAAATGTGTATGTGTGTGTGCGTGGGGGGGGGGGGGGGTATGTGGAAAAGAGCCACAGTTAGTTATTGTTGTTCGGACTAGGTGTCCCTGAGGAGGAGTAGTTTGATGCTGGAGAGGCGGAAGGAGCGCAACAGACAGTCAGCGGCCAAGTGTCGCGAGAAACAGAAACTACTCGAGATACACTTGCAAACAGTCAGTTTCAAAACTTTTTTTCAAAAGTTAACTAGCAAGAGGGCTAGCCCGGAGTTTAATCATTAAAAGTTAATTAAGCTATGGGTATCTTAGAAGAATTCAGCCTGTAAATTGCAGCGCGCGTGTGGTTTGAACCCGCAATCATTTGATTGCTGGGCGCCATCACTACCGATGCGCCACAGGACTACTATTACTCATGCTATTGTATTGCCCTGACCGTCCCACAATCAAAACGTCCAACAAACATCAATTTATGAGATCTCCGACTTTCATTAACATGTCTTTAAAAGTCAAAGCTAACTTAGGATTTTTGCAATCGAGGTTTTAGTTCGAAATTGGTAGATTTTATAAAGCTCTTTCCCAAAATTTGAAAAACACATTTTTTTTCGTATCCAAATTGTGACCTTGAACGCCTTTCTAAGTTTCAATTTCTTTACGTACACATGCAAAAATGATAAACTGGAGCTCATTAGAAACCAACCGGGGTATTCTACATTTAACCCTAATAAGTGTAGCTTCGTTGTCAATGGGTAGTTTATACCAATTTTTGGCAATATTGGTGACCTTTGAGTGCCTTAATAGGGAAAAAAGGCAAAAAGAGCAGTTTCAGGCAAATGAACTTCGTCTAGAGTCGTTCACCAAAAAGTTATATTGTCAACAATTTGGCATATTCAACAGCTATAATTGAATATCACAATTACTTAAGTTACTTTGAATTGTTTGCAGCAAAAAGCGAGTTTGTCAGAAAAACACACAGCCTTAAAACGAGAAGTTGAAGAACTGGAACGAGAGAGAATTCGACTGCAACAAATGGTGCTATCTTACGATGCTACATGCAACCGCCGCCTTCCTTCAAACGACGACGACAACATTAACTCGGTTACAATGGCAAGCCCTGCAACAGAGACTCCGACAACAATTTCTCAAAAAACTAGATCTCCAAATGAGCCTAACTACCCCAGCTGACCAAACATGGATCAAAGTTTTAAACTAGCGGATTTGTAATCGTCAATATAGTTTGAAAGAGCTTTTATATCAAATTGATATTCCTTCTTATGGTGCAATTAGATTTTCTAAACTAAATTTGCAAAAATTCAGCCCGCACTTCGCAGGATCGACTATCCAAATGGAGAACTCTGGCCGCAGCCTGGAGGTAACGAATACGCTTGGGGTGACAAAAGCTATGAGTTCGAAGCTGACCAGGTGCTGTTCTTTGCTCACACGGGATAATTTCTGTTTCAAATATTAGTTGCCACATCTAAGAATCGTTTATTTTTGCTGTCAACAATTTTCAGTTGTTTTTAGTGTTTTGACTTTTAAAAATCCGGCTGAATTGAAATTTTATTTTTATATTGTTTGTATTTTAACAACTCGATTTCTTTTTTTTTTTTAATTTTTTTGTCTTTTTTTTCGACTTAATCGGTTTTGGGTTCTTTAATGTCGACCCATTTTTTATATTGACCTATTTTAGTGGTCTCCTATTGCGGCGGTTGACGACCGAAAAAAGTTTGTATGCGTTTGTGTTCTGAGGGAAAAGGGGGACTTGAAATTTTTCGAATGTTTTTTTTCGGCATGAAGAGTGTCTATTCGGATATTTTGGGTTTTGGTAATGCTAGTTAAGTTTTTTTCCCATTCTAATTTCGCATTCTATTGTCTGGATCTTGTTTTTTTCAAATTCTATTTGATAGACCTATTTGAATGTATAGTGATAATATCTCGGTATTACTTTTTTGCTGAGGGTTTTTTGGCTTTATGATTGTCGATTAAGCTCTCGATTTATTTTCCGAATTGCTTATACCACCTTGCATTTAGTACACTTATGGCATTTGTGGATACTATTTGGGCCATTCAAGTATTTTTTAAGCTATAAAATTTTGCCGAACAATTTTGGTTGATTTTCAAATGATTAGCTCTCGGCTTTAATTTTGTCAGCTTACTGACGTTACATTTTGTTTCTTCCCGTTTTCTACAACATTCCGATAGTATTTTTAAAATCTTAACGACTTTTGCCCCATTTTTAAATTTTCGAACGTTCAATTTTGACTCCGCAGGGACCTCTTGAAAACAACTTATTTTTTGAAGAAACTTTTGATTTTAATTTTTTTTTGGTTATTTCTACACGGCAACAACGTTCAAAAACCTATTTAACAGTTCTTGAGTCTTTTGCTATTTCAATTCTTTACTTGTTGTATCGAAAAAAGTGCAAACGAAGCTCAAACTCGGCCTCTGTGTTAAATAATTGTATACTTAAGCAATTTTCTAAGCAACTTTCTAATCCACATTGATTTATAAGCAACAATTTGCTTTTTTAAAAAACTGAACAGTCAGTCGAAACTGCACTTATAAGCAATAAACGTAAACAAAAAAAAGATAAACGGCAAAAAGTCTTCAACTGTATCGGTAATCGCACCCAGAACCTGCTGCTTTGTAGTCCAAGGTTTGAATACTAGATCACTGACGCACAATGATTCGGTTGTCGACATTCTTTCGTATATGTATTACAAAAAATCATTTCCAGCAATTAATGTAATTTTATTGAGCGGATATAACGTACTGTATTTGAAATCAGCAGATAAACCCAAAACTGAAACAGAAATATTTACCAAGACCAAAACGAAAGACAAAATAAGGCGCAGAAATTTAACACAGAATTAACGCCTTGCATTGCATTGAAAACATTTGGACTCGTATTTAACAAAAAAATTTTATTAGAGTATACTCATACCGTGAAGAATCTATAGCCAAAAAATTGCTGAAAAAAGAACACGACAAAAAGCAGCTCTGAAGTGAAATAAGAAAAAATGAAATTAAACCTCGAATTCGGCTACCTCTGAGATTCGAACCTGCGACCTTGAGATTAACAGCCTCACACACTAACCACTCAGACAAGGACGCTCAATAGGCACTAAAACTAGCCACCAATAAAGCAGAGAACACATGCTTTGCATTTTCCGATGCTACTGTGAAATTTCCAATGAAAGAACACTTTTAATGAAAAGTTCTATTTGCGAGTTAGGGTAGAAAATAAAGCAGGTTCGTAATAATACGCTAAGCTGAAAATACAGAAATTAAAAAAAATCATCTTATAATTTCAAGAACGACTTAGAATTGAGCCATTTTCTTCAGAAAACCAACCCAATTAGAAAAATCTGGGTCAATAGGCTTTTGTCATTTTTTTAAAAAGATTTTTTACATTTGCGATTAGCAAGCGCATTATCAAACTGCAATACAGATTATTTTCGGGTTAACAACTTGTTTAGCAGAATGACTTGTACTTTGTTTCATATTGAATTCAATTTTCTTTGCGTGCCCAGCCAACTCAGCCTGGGGATAACGAATATGCCTTGGACGGCATAGGTCCTGAGTTCGATTTTGACCAGGACCTTTTTTTGAAGCACGAAAAGTTCTGTTTAAATAAACTTGTTGGCTAATAATTTGTTGTCGGCTTAGTTGCCACGTCTTGGAATTGTTTTTTCGCTGCGCGCAATTTTTTAAATGTTGTTTTTAGTCTTTGATTTACTCTTACAATATGTAACTTCATTAAACTTGACTTCGTATTTCCTTCTTTGTTTTGTTTCGCTTAAAAAATTTCTCGGCCCAAATAATTTCAGCATAGTTTGCATCGGCTTAATGTCCTAATTTTGAGTCGTTTCAAGTTGGTCGTGTGTTTACCAATCGTTTCGTTGATTTTTTTTCGTTTTCGAAAAAAAAATTCTCAGAAACTTCTATTGAGTTTCGGAAAAACAGTATCAATTGAAAGCCTGCCCATTCCCTTGTGTGCCTGCATACTCCCCTAGAGACTTTTTTAAACTTCTTTCCTCTGTCTACGGCCTTCGAAAAACGTAGGGGATTACTTGACCCAGGTTTTTTTTTTCGTTTTCTCGATAACTACCCCTCTCAAATCTGAGCTTTTTTTCAATGATTAGAAAGGTTTAGAAAAGCTCCCCTGCATAAGCCGCTACACCCAAAGTTTTTCTTCACATCAAGTTAAGGCCCTAGGAATGGCCAACTTTTTGATCGTTTTGTGATTCTTTTCGACATTGGTTGAAAATTAAACACTCAAATCGGATATTGTGGGTACAGTTAAGTTAACGGGCAGGAAACTACCCTGCATTAGCGGGCACTCACAAAGTTTCTTACACAAAGTTTTCGCCCTCGGAAAAGTCAATATTTTGACCGTTTTTCAAACTTTTAAATATTCGCGCAAACTTCTTGCTATATTTGAGATTATGGGTTCAATTCAATGCACGGATTGTCAGAAGCTCATTTGCTTATGCAACTACGCCCCCAAGTTTTCTGACTTCAAAAATTTTGATTTTTTAAAAAAACATTTTCCGAAAACTGCCTTCCTAAATCTGACATTGTAGGTTCAATCGAAACTACAGCTTGCATAGATTCCTTCTGCATAAGCAGATATGCAATATTTTTCACACAAAAATCTATGATTTTCGGAAATTCCAAATTTTTAAATGATGACCGTTTTGTTGACCATTTTTTGGACTTTTCTCGCTAACTATCCTGCCAAATCTTATATCGTAGGTTTTGGGAATCTTCTTTGTTTACGCAGCCAAATTTGCTTTTCGCAGAAACAATATGGATTTTAGAAAATCTTTTGACCGTTTTTTCGAATTTTGACCGTTTTTCAGAAATGTTACAATCAAATCTGAGATGAAAAATTTCATTCGAGAAAACTAATTGCGATAATTGTTCCTGAAGAAGGGCGACTCCTTAATTTTTTGTAAGAGAAATATTATCTCATTGGGAAAATTGATTATCTCAAAATTAGTGCAGAAATAACTAAGTTTTTGGGCAGTCCAAATTTTGAAATCACACAATTCGTACCGCATGATCATAGCAAATACATTCAATATCAAGCACTTAACCCCAGCTTTAGCTAAAGCCCCAAAAAAATTTTGTATCGAGACATAAATTTTGGTTCACCGAGTTTTTTTTTCAACAATTTTTTTTTCGACATGCTTTTTTATGTTAGCTGTGAATCGCAAGTGGCGCGAAGCACCGCTTCTACTCGGTTTTAAATTTTAGTAAATTCATACCGCACAGAATCTATAGCCAACAATTTGCTAAAAAAACATATGAATGAGAAAACCAAAAAAAAAGTTAATCACCTTTGAATTTCTGATAACTAAAATCCTTTTCGCAACAACACCAATCAAGTTTTTCGCAAAATAAGCTTTATTACGCTATTAAATAGCTTGTTTTGCCTTGTTCAAGCAAATGAATTCGAATTAAACTTGAAAAAAAATTGAAGCCGAAACACAGTTATTTTTTCAAGTTTTGTCCCAAAAAACACAAAACAAGAAGGATAGTCGGCTGCTGGGTAAGAAGCAAAGAATGTTCCGACCTAATTTAAGAAAAAACTCAAAAAATGAACATCTAAAAACGAAAGCTAATTTTTTTTCAATCAAGAAAAAGCTATTGAAACAGAAAAGAACAGCCATCAGAGTTAAAAATTAGTCAAGGAACGTGAGAATATTGAACAAGTTTTGAATTTCCAAGTTTTGAATTTTTTCAAATTCAAGTTTTGAATTTGAAAAAAATGGTGCAATAGGCAAACTTTTTTTCCGCTGGGAACTTTGAAAATTTAAATCCACGCTCGAAACTAAAAATCAATCCCGTCTTTTGTCACCTTTACACCTCTGTGTTATTCGATGGTGAATTTGACGTCCTGTTAACAAAACCAATGAATTGAACTTCAAAAGAAATCTAAAATCAACCGCGTAAAAACAAATTTCAGCATCAACAAAAGTTAGGACTTTCATGAAAAAGAAGAAAATCGTCAAAACATATACGCAGAGGCAAAGCTGAGCTTCGCACCAATTGCGATACAAATATGAATGATGATTGAAAACGGAAAAGAATTGAAAAATAAAACAAACTAAAAAAAATGATTTTGTCAATAAAAACTGCAACAAAAGCCCAAAATATCCAGGACAAAAATGCCTGCACCATTCAAAGAGCTTCAAGATAGCTATGAAGAAGTCAACTTTAAAAAAAAACTCCATTCTGCGGAACTAAGCAGACAGACAATAATCTAAATTAGCCAAAACATTTCTTTGCAAAAAAATAACAGGTCTTAACTGGAATCGAACTCCCGGGCTTTTTGTTCTCAAGCTCGAGGCTTAAAGCAAGTTGGAACAATGCTGAAAAATTAAGCTAGGGAAAAAAGGCTGAAGAAAATAAACAGACGGATGATAGTCCGAGAAAAACACAAAAACTCTGTTTCAAAAAAAAAGGGCCCGGCCGGATTCAAATCGCAAGCCTTTGCTATCTCAAACTGCTGGTTCACCTCTATGCCAGATGCACCGGATGATTGATTGGAATCGAATTTAAAATTACCAAGTGGCAACAAAGCCGAAAATACCTGGGCAGAAACCCTTCATGCCGAAAAAATTCTTAACTTAAAAATCTTAGGTTTTTTTTACCTTCAGAGCACACACACGCGCAAAAATCTTGTTTCGGTCGTAACGACGCAAAAAGAAGCCACTTATTTGAACTTAATAACGAAACAAAGAAAAAATTAACGAATCGAGCTGGTAAAATTACAACCAATATGAAGAGCAAATTTCAATTCGGCCAGATTTTTAAAATGCTAAAAGCAACTGCAGTGAAAGCAGTTTACAGCTAAAATAAATGATTCTTAGATTTGACAACTAAGCTGAAAAAACATAATCAGACAAATAAAAGGCCCATTTTTTATCCGGAATATTTACCGAGTGAAAAACTGTTTCCAGGCTCATTCGTTACCATCAGGCTAAAGGTGCAAGAAAAAATACAAATTTTGAATACACTATGAAGCAAGGTACATCAGAAGTCCAATGATTCCTGTGGACCAAGTAGTTTGCGGGAAAAAAGTCTAGTACCCGATAGTAACACCCTTGCTTATAAAAAACATCCCAAAATATTGCTTTAAAAGCTAATATAGCTTTTAGAATCAAGTAGACTTAAATTTGGAGTTTTTCATGTCTTAACTGTTGAATCAAGTACTGTGTTGAAAATTCCTCTAATTTCTGTTCAAATTTAGTCAAAAAGTAAATTAATGCGGACCAGTGTTTCTCGACACTGAGTCAATGTTTTCCGTTTTTCCTTAGAATCCGGATCACCGTATTAGGGCTGTTCCACACTGAACAAGTTATTAACGGAAAAAGGTCAAGTACCCGATTGCGATATCGCAAGGGTAAAAACTTCTTTCTGAAAAAGTTCAACACAACCTATATAAGTTTCTTCACTACGTTCATTGATGGTTGAAAAACATAGACAACAGATAGAAAAGAGTCAAGGAAACAACTGAACAAAAAAAAACAGTCTTGTTACTAGGAAAAATCAACTTTCGACTTTCAATATATGGCTTTAAAGCTCGATGAATTTCAAGAACAGTTTATAATGGACATTTTCCCGATAAAATCAACTCAATTTGAAAAAATTGAATCAATAAATAAAGTTTTCATTCAGCTGAGAAATCCTAAAAATAAAAGCTATCGTAATAAGTAGTCGATGACGCCTTTTGCACTATTGCCACTTTCGTAATTGGAGAGCGCAGTTTGCCTAATTTTTAATTTAAATTGAAATCAAAAACTTCATATGTAACACAGTGCATCCATAAATTCATTAATGTACACACGCAAAGTTGCACTTCGCATACACAAGCAAAAATATGACCGATAACTCTACTGAGAAAAACTGAATGATTAAAACTTAGAGTCTACATAATTTCTTAATTGACGCACGCCAATGTTGAGTCACATAACAGCTAAGTCACGCAAGCCAATTATGACGCATTGCAGATCCATGATACCTTAATGCTACAGTGCTATTTGTAATATAATAGTCTGTGTTAATAACTTTAGCATTGGCTGTGCTTAACATCTGGTTAATATACTTAAATAAAAAGAACACTTTCAAAATGAACACTAATATTTGCGTTTTAAGTTGAAAAAAATAGAGTTCATACTATCACACAAGTTTCGCTTTGTGTAATGAATGTACGCCTGTAGTTAGTAGATCTTTTTTAGACTTTTCCTTTGACTATGAATAAAAAAGCAACAAGGGAACAAATATAATAAAAACTGCCTAGATTTGAAAGACATCCGAAAAAAGAAGAAGTGGCGCTAACCCGAAATCTAAACCTGCTGCCAAAAAAAATAAGTGTGCTTCCCGGACTCCAACCGGGGACATCGACAAACCTCGGTTAACCGTTAGCCTTGCACCAATCGACAATTTTCGAAGGCTTGAGCTTGCTTTGATTATAATCTGCAAGATAAATTAAGTACTTTACATGTTTTCATTCGCCTATTGGTTCCTTTTAAATCATCAGCTCTTTTTAAAATAAAATCCTCACTGGACCAAAAAATTTATTGTAAAAAAATGAATTGAACTCCCAGACTAGCTACATGGTTCCAACTATATAATTACAAACTATATTCCCTGATTCGGTTTTGCGCAAGATGACGACTAAAAACTATTCACATTCTCTTTAAAAGTTCTCGAGTAATGATCAACCGCTGTATTTGTGCAGTTCCCTCGTAAATCTAAAACAGAAAAATTATTTTAAAAAATGAACTTATTAACTAGATTTTGCTGAAAAAGACCAGTGATGTCATTGTCCCCTACCTGATAAATCTTTGCATCCCGCATCAGCTTTTCCACGGGGTATTCTGTATTGTAACCATTTCCTCCGAAAACTTGCACAGCGTCTGTCGCAGCTTTGTTAGCAATATCTGCGCCATAACACTGAAACACATACCTCAAGTTGATAAAGGAAATCTTTTTCCAAGAGAAAAAAGATTCGTTCAATATTCTCAAACTCTTTACACAAGTAACTGAGCTCCTTATAATTAGCTGTTAAAGCTTATGACCTTAAATGTAAACGAATTTGCAACAAATCAGGATTAAATTGGAAAACAAACACGAAACGCAAGCAAGCTGCACTCGAATAGTAAAGTGGAAAAAATGCTAGCTCATTTTCAAAAAGGCCTGAATCAATTCAAAAAACATTCTATTAAAAGCTGCATCTACATAGCTTTCAACTGATTTCTTTCCTGATTGGTTTGAATTTGTCTAAATTAGTAATCATTGGGGTGGTCCCATCAAGGTTACAATTGATTCCGCTACTGGTTACGAAGAAATTTTTTGTGGCATTGAAGTGATCTAGCGGGCTCTTTACAATTAAACACCCCCAGCCTTAGTAACAGAAAAATTAGGTAGGATTTCTGTTTTAAAGAGGGCTATAATTCACTAGGATCGGAGATCTATGAATTACAGGAGGGATGAGGGGTTGGGTGACTAACAATTTGCTAGGGGAGATTTAAATTAGAAGGAGAAAATGATTTGACGGAAAGATCTGGATTCCAGAGATCTACAAGCAACAAATTATGCGCCTATCCAGAGCACAGTTTGGCCTTGTAATGTAAAATAAGAACAAGTGAGAGCCATCTTTTGTACTTTGGCGATGGATGCGAAATAGGTGTTGCGTCTGCCCATGTCCACATCATATGCACTCTTCAGCACCATGAGTCTTGCGGTCTCCACCCCAACCGCCATGTCTGCGATCAGATTGGCCACCGACTGGTGGTTGATGATCTGGGTTCCCATGGTCTTCCTCTCCAACGCATACCTAGCCCGGCCAACATAACGCAATGCCATTAGACAAAAACGAGGAGACAATAATCATATCTATCTTCGTGGTTGCTTTCAATAAGGGTTACAAATTGTATTCAATTTTATACTGTGCATAAAATGCACTGACAACTTTGAATATTTACCTACGGCTTAAATTAACCAAAAATACTAGCAGAAACTGCGCGCGTTTTATATAACTTATTGAGTTTTGATTAAAATTGAGTTAATGTTGAATAAACATTTATCCCTTTTGTTTTTAAGACTAGAGCAGCAAAGGATGCGCACCCAATGGAATTATTAGCTTTCCTCTCTGGTGCAATATTTTCAATTTAGCACAGATGTCTAGATTTTACCGAAAAAAAAACAACCTCAAATGACATTACGTGAACATAGCCAACTGAAAGTTGGAAAAGAGTAATGAACGCAAGGTAACTGGAAAAAAAACAGACATGTTTTTTCATGAGCCTTCAACTTTAGATTTTCGAAGAAAAAGTTAGATGACCTTAAAGCTCTTTGATATTGTAAAACAATTTATGATAGACAATTTTAGATTAAAATCAACCCAATTTGAGAAAACTGAATCAATCGGTATAACTTTTTAGTTGGGAAATCTGATATTTAATTTCCATTTTCGAAATTACAAGTCGATCACGTTTTTCATGACCTTTACAATTTTGCTGCTCGATAGTGGAGTTTGCCTGCCTTTTAACAATAGAAACGCACTGAACTTCAAGAAGAAATCACAAGTCAAACCGCTAAAAATCAAAATTGAGCATGAAAAAAAAACAAAAAATCAGCAAGACCTATATAAGAGTACTCACTACGTTCATTACTCTTAAAAACAACACCAATAACCAAAAAATTCTATCGGTCTAAATGATTACGCCACTCACTTGATAGACTCCTCGAGTGCTCTCTGTGCTAGCCCGACTGCTCCTGCTCCTACTGCAGGTCTAGTTCTGTCGAAGGCACCCATCGCAAGCAGGAACCCCTTGCCCTCCTCTCCGATCACTTGACTCTCAGGCACTACAACGTCCTCAAATGACACTGCCCTTGTATCTGAACACTTCTGGCCCATGTTGATCTCCTGTCAGGCAACAAATAAAATTAGAGAGACACGTTTAAAGCATAATTAAATTTTTCAGTCAGAAAGAAGAAGTTTTAACGGGAAAACCACAAACAAATACGGGCGGATTTTCTCGAGGGGGTTTTTCGAAAAAGTTTTGTGGACCTCTTTTTAGGTCGATCAAAAAATTGTCTCTCAAACCACCATCAAGACCGTATTTTGAGCAAATTTTCTGCTCCGCCGTTTTTGGAAGGTTTTCGACAAAAATACATTTTTGACCAAAGACCTCTCCCACTAAATCTGATACTGCCCAAATCGTTATCTGCCTCTAGAATAAAATTTTAGAACGAAATTACACGACACTAATTCTCTATTTCGATTAAACCTTAGATAAATAGATGAGATGAGATTAACTTGAATTTTTACCCAGATAAACGCAAATAAAACAAGGTGTCTTTAGCTTTTCGAATGTTCCAATTTTCTTCACAAGTAAATTTAATAACCAAAAAAAAACAATTGAAGTATTACCACTTGAAATAGCATATTTATTTTTGAACCATATATTATATTTTTGAGCTATATATTTAATCATTTTGGAGCTTTTTTCCAGTAAGAAGCTGACCTTCTTTCCAACACTGACTCCTGGCGTGTCCCTGTCGATGACGAAGGCGGTGAAGGCCTTGCTGGCAGGACACTTGGGGTCTGGGTTGGACCTGGTCAGCACAAAGTACCAGTTGGCCACGCCCCCATTCGTAATCCACATCTTGGACCCATTCACCACATACTCTTTTCCTGTATACGAAGACATGTAGGCCAAGATAAACAAACAACCTCCATTTCCCAATTCGAAACCCCTCCCCAAAACAGAGCCCCCACCCCCGTTTCATTGTGGAAATAAAACAGAAGTTGATCTGTAATTACAGAATACATTTAAATCAAGGATAGCCGGTTACTGTCTTAAAAAATACAAAAAAGTTTTTTTTTGTCAAATTGGTGTCGTTTTTTCTGCATGTTGTGATAAAAAGATATGAAAGAAAAAAAAGAACTTAGGCATATCTCGGATTCATAGTAAAATAGGTCAATTGTAAAACAGTTTTTGAAGAAAAATGACTGGAAAAAAAAAGTTATTTTTTGCAGAAACGTTTTGAATTTTCAAGTTTATGATTCCCAAAATTGCGCTAACAAACTCCAAAAACTACCTCTACTTGAGTAAAATTAAATTTTTCACGACCTAAATTAAGCTTAAATATGCTACACGGTCACCTTATTCGCTCGAAATTAGACCAAAAATTTCAAACCGGTTTTTCTCGACACTGTGAAAATTTTTTCGAAATTTCTTAATGTCGTTTGAATCACGACTTAAAAGGCTTTAAAATGATATAACACTCAACCCAGTCCGATGATTATTTATGGTACTTCATTTTGGGTGGAAAAAAAAACTAAAACAAATCCGAATACAAAGTTCCTCTCCATTTTACGATAGATACTCGATGAAAACAAATGGATATAAATTTTTCTACTATTTGATGTCAGAATCATCGAGTACTTGCGCTAACAAACTCCAAAAACTACCTCTACTTGAGTAAAATTAAATTTTTCACGACCTAAATTAAGCTTAAATATGCTACACGGTCACCTTATTAGCTCGAAATTAGACCAAAAATTTCAAACCGGTTTTTCTCGACACTGTGAAAATTTTTTCGAAATTCGAAATTTCTTAATGTCGTTTGAATCACGACTTAAAAGGCTTTAAAATGATATAACACTCAATCCAGTCCGATGATTATTTATGGTACTTCATTTTGGGTGGAAAAAAAAACTAAAACAAATCCGAATACAAAGTTCCTCTCCATTTTACGATAGATACTCGATGAAAACAAATGGATATAAATTTTTCTACTATTTGGTGTCAGAATCATCGAGTACTTGCGCTAACAAACTCCAAAAACTACCTCTACTTGAGTAAAATTAAATTTTTCACGACCTAAATTAAGCTTAAATATGCTACACGGTCACCTTATTAGCTCGAAATTAGACCAAAAATTTCAAACCGGTTTTTCTCGACACTGAAATTTTTTTCGAAATTCGAAATTTCTTAATGTCGTTTGAATCACGACTTAAAAGGCTTTAAAATGATATAACACTCAACCCAGTCCGATGATTATTTATGGTACTTCATTTTGGGTGGAAAAAAAAACTAAAACACATCCGAATACAAAGTTCCTCTCCATTTTACGATAGATACTCGATGAAAACAATTGGATATAAATTTTTCTACTATTTGATGTCAGAATCATCGAGTACTTGCGCTAACAAACTCCAAAAACTACCTCTACTTGAGTAAAATTCGATTTTTCACGACCTAAATTAAGCTTAAATATGCTACACGGTCACCTTATTAGCTCGAAATTAGACCAAAAATTTCAAACCGGTTTTTCTCAACACTGTGAAAATTTTTTCGAAATTCGAAATTTCTTAATGTCGTTTGAATCACGACTTAAAAGGCTTTAAAATGATATAACACTCAACCCAGTCCGATGATTATTTATGGTACTTCATTTTGGGTGGAAAAAAAAACTAAAACACATCCGAATACAAAGTACCTCTCCATTTTACGATAGATACTCGATGAAAACAAATGGATATAAATTTTTCTACTATTTGATGTCAGAATCATCGAGTACTTGCGCTAACAAACTCCAAAAACTACCTCTACTTGAGTAAAATTAAATTTTTCACGACCTAAATTAAGCTTAAATATGCTACACGGTCACCTTATTAGCTCGAAATTAGACCAAAAATTTCAAACCGGTATTTCTCGACACTGTGAAAATTTTTTCGAAATTCGAAATTTCTTAATGTCGTTTGAATCACGACTTAAAAGGCTTTAAAATGATATAACACTCAACCCAGTCCGATGATTATTTATGGTACTTCATTTTGGGTGGAAAAAAACCAAAACACATCCGAATACAAAGTTCCTCTCCATTTTACGATAGATACTCGATGAAAACAAATGGATATAAATTTTTCTACTATTTGATGTCAGAATCATCGAGTACTTGCGCTAACAAACTCCAAAAACTACCTCTACTTGAGTAAAATTAAATTTTTCACGACCTAAATTAAGCTTAAATATGCTACACGGTCACCTTATTAGCTCGAAATTAGACCAAAAATTTCAAACCGGTTTTTCTCGACACTGTGAAAATTTTTCGAAATTCTGAAATTTCTTAATGTCGTTTGAATCACGACTTAAAAGGCTTTAAAATGATATAACACTCAACCCAGTCCGATGATTATTTATGGTACTTCATTTTGGGTGGAAAAAAAAACTAAAACACATCCGAATACAAAGTTCCTCTCCATTTTACGATAGATACTCGATGAAAACAAATGGATATAAATTTTTCTACTATTTGATGTCAGAATCATCGAGTACTTGCGCTAACAAACTCCAAAAACTACCTCTACTTGAGTAAAATTAAATTTTTCACGACCTAAATTAAGCTTAAATATGCTACACGGTCACCTTATTAGCTCGAAATTAGACCAAAAATTTCAAACCGGTTTTTCTCGACACTGTGAAAATTTTTTTCGAAATTCGAAATTTCTTAATGTCGTTTGAATCACGACTTAAAAGGCTTTAAAATGATATAACACTCAACCCAGTCCGATGATTATTTATGGTACTTCATTTTGGGTGGAAAAAAAACTAAAACACATCCGAATACAAAGTTCCTCTCCATTTTACGATAGATACTCGATGAAAACAAATGGATATAAATTTTTCTACTATTTGATGTCAGAATCATCGAGTACTTGCGCTAACAAACTCCAAAAACTACCTCTACTTGAGTAAAATTAAATTTTTCACGACCTAAATTAAGCTTAAATATGCTACACGGTCACCTTATTAGCTCGAAATTAGACCAAAAATTTCAAACCGGTTTTTCTCGACATTGTGAAAATTTTTTCGAAATTCGAAATTTCTTAATGTCGTTTGAATCACGACTTAAAAGGCTTTAAAATGATATAACACTCAACCCAGTCCGATGATTATTTATGTTACTTCATTTTGGGTGGAAAAAAAAACTAAAACACATTCGAATACAAAGTTCCTCTCCATTTTACGATAGATACTCGATGAAAACAAATGGATATAAATTTTTCTACTATTTGATGTCAGAATCATCGAGTACTTGCGCTAACAAACTCCAAAAACTACCTCTACTTGAGTAAAATTAAATTTTTCACGACCTAAATTAAGCTTAAATATGCTACACGGTCACCTTATTAGCTCGAAATTAGACCAAAAATTTCAAACCGGTTTTTCTCGACACTGTGAAAATTTTTCGAAATTCGAAATTTCTTAATGTCGTTTGAATCACGACTTAAAAGGCTTTAAAATGATATAACACTCAACCCAGTCCGATGATTATTTATGGTACTTCATTTTGGGTGGAAAAAAAACTAAAACACATCCGAATACAAAGTTCCTCTCCATTTTACGATAGATACTCGATGAAAACAAATGGATATAAATTTTTCTACTATTTGATGTCAGAATCATCGAGTACTTGCGCTAACAAACTCCAAAAACTACCTCTACTTGAGTAAAATTAAATTTTTCACGACCTAAATTAAGCTTAAATATGCTACACGGTCACCTTATTAGCTCGAAATTAGACCAAAAATTTCAAACCGGTTTTTCTCGACATTGTGAAAATTTTTTCGAAATTCGAAATTTCTTAATGTCGTTTGAATCACGACTTAAAAGGCTTTAAAATGATATAACACTCAACCCAGTCCGATGATTATTTATGTTACTTCATTTTGGGTGGAAAAAAAAACTAAAACACATTCGAATACAAAGTTCCTCTCCATTTTACGATAGATACTCGATGAAAACAAATGGATATAAATTTTTCTACTATTTGATGTCAGAATCATCGAGTACTTGCGCTAACAAACTCCAAAAACTACCTCTACTTGAGTAAAATTAAATTTTTCACGACCTAAATTAAGCTTAAATATGCTACACGGTCACCTTATTAGCTCGAAATTAGACCAAAAATTTCAAACCGGTTTTTCTCGACACTGTGAAAATTTTTCGAAATTCGAAATTTCTTAATGTCGTTTGAATCACGACTTAAAAGGCTTTAAAATGATATAACACTCAACCCAGTCCGATGATTATTTATGGTACTTCATTTTGGGTGGAAAAAAAAACTAAAACACATCCGAATACAAAGTTCCTCTCCATTTTACGATAGATACTCGATGAAAACAAATGGATATAAATTTTTCTACTATTTGATGTCAGAATCATCGAGTACTTAATATGGCGTGTGCGGGGATTTTTAATTTCATTTTATTACATTTAAATTTTTCGTGTTATTGCTGCTCCATAGACCTCAAAAGGCAGTCGGAACATTCAGGGCTTCCTCCTGATACCAGCAGTTTTGTTTTGGTTTTAAAAATCATTTCATTAGATACAGTAGAGTATATGAAAGAAAACTCAGCAACTGGATCACAGAATGACAAAAAACTTTCAGGCCGCATTCGCAAAATAGTTCAGGAATTGCCACAATAAAAATCGAGCCCCTCCCCCAAAAAATCAAGATCGAGGAACAAAAGATAACACATCAACTCTTTCATTTTTTTCGCTTCAGTTTATATTGATAGAAAAGAACTTTAACAGTTCAATTAACTCAAATCAGCACCGAAAAATTTCAAAATTAGTTTGATCAGAATAAAGTTCCAATTTTATTTTACTTCTTAACTTCTACTAAGAAACGAAAGAAATCCATGTTAAACTTTACTCTTTCTTTGTGAAGTTATTAATTTGAGGCAAAACTGAGTTGGAGCTATTTTCAGATCAAACTATTTTGAAAGTTTTACGAAGCTGAATCGCCTCAAAAGTATACATTACAAACCTCTTTTCTCACTGCGCGTTTTGATTCCAGACACGTCTGATCCTGCTCCTGGCTCCGTCACACAATAGGCTGCTTGCAATGGCGCCTCAACTAGTCTGCTCAAATACTTCTTCTTCAATTCATCACTTCCAGCAACCAGAAGAGGCATCGACTGTAACACAAAATACACTTGAAGAACGTGCGAGCGACTAAACAGACCTCACAATGAAAAATCGAATTTGAGCGTAAACAAATTTCCAGACTTTATTTTGAAGAAAAAAAAACAACTAATAAATTATCACGATCTATTTAAGAGTCTTCGCTACTTTCATTGACTGTCAAAATCTTATCACCAATGAATCGTTACAACTTACAGCGAGTGAGTTTGCTAACAGCGCAGTTCCCACTCCAGAACAGCCGAATGCGATCTCCTCGGCCACTATGCACTCGTCCAGCACGCCCATTTCGACGCCACCTGAACATACCACACCAATTGAGAATGAAATAGCCGAAGTATAAATTAGCAGAGTATATAAATAGTCAAAATTCACACCATATGTTGAAACTAGCATGATTTTCATAACTGTTAAATATATTTTATGTAATTACCATGTAACCAGGGGCGGATTTAGGGGGCGGGGCGGACGCCCCTTCCTCAGGGATTCGACCCCCTGCCGACCCAAAGGGTCCCCCCTTTGATACTTTTTAAGAAATCCATTTTTGGCCGACCGACCCTAAAATTGTTCTAAAGGCGCCTTCGGCGCCAATATATACTAATTTTGAGGGTGGAGCGCGCGCCGAAAAAACGCAATTTTTCGGTCAAAATTTTCCAAAAAGTGCCTAAAAACGCCTTTTTGGCCTGTTTTTTCAAACTTTTGCCTGCGGCGCAAAAAAATTTGGCCAAAATAGGGACAAAACCGTGCTTTGGTCGACCTAAAAAAAAAGGTCGTCAAAATTTTCGAAAATTCGCCCCCCCCCCCCCCCTCGAGAAAATGCTAGATCCGCCCCTGCATGTAACTACCTAATATTTTCAGCTGGTTCATAATTTTGCTGCTTCATATACTACCACCATAAACACATGTAAGCTAAAGAGAACATGTTTTTGTCTGCGATAAACTTAAGTCATGCAAGAAATGGAGGAAATGAAGTCCGAAAAAAAGCGGCAGTACCAAAAGATAATCAGAAAAATAAACCATATGGGCTGTGATCCACAGTAAAATATAACCCAAAGGATATTTTAAGTTTATTGCACCAAAGTTAATCTAATATCTAAAGGTATCTATTTATAAGATATAATTCTGCTATCTGAGCCATAAATCGAGATACAAACTTAGCCAAGAAAGACATGAACTACAATTACCGTATGCTTCAGGCACGTGCATGTTGACTAGTCCCAGGCGCCACGCTTCTTTGAATATTTCCATTGGATACTGAAATATTGAGACTATTAGTGAAACAATTTCCCACATTCGTACCAAAAGCTTTCCCACCATACGCGTCCACAATTTTATTTCACGGCAACGTTTCATACATCGTCAATTTTGTTTTGATCAGAAAACTTGATTCCACTAGATAAATTCTTCTAAGAAACCATTTTCATTGTATTCTTATAGGCAGAATTTATTTTAGACATGAAAATCAGACGTGTGATGAAGGCGTGAAAAAAAAAACAATCATAGTTAATTCAATTAGTTAAGTTCAGCAGCTGATGCTTGCTAAATTTGTTACCTCCATTGTCTGGTCGTGATATGCTGCTTTTGGGGCAACCTGTTCCCGCGCAAACTTTGCCGCCACTTCCTTCATTGCCATTTGTTGATCCGACAAATCTGAACAAACATTTGGACTTGACTCGCAAAGCTGAACACAAAGTTACATAATTTCCAATAATATGAATTAGCAAACCGCAAACGCCATTTTAGTATCTCTTAAAAGCAATCCGGCCACGCCGCCTCGTCTCAAAGACTCTTAACCTTTATTCGTTCAAAACTTTATTATCATCACAAAGATTTCCACAATTTTATTACGAACAAGTCGACATTTTTTAAACTAGAACTTAACTAAACATATCCAATTGACAGTTAGAAAAGAGTAATGAACGCAAGTAAACAGAAAAAAAACTATTGAGAAAATTGGATCAATAGGTAAAGTTTTCATTCCGCTAGAAACCTAAAAATTAAACTCCACTATCGAAACTAGAAATTCGCGCCAATTGCAAGTTCGTGTTTCAAGAAAACTTTTTACGTAACTTTCAGCAGATGAATTTCAATTGAACTCAAAAAGTGCATATATTCCTAAGTGCGTTCATAAATGCATTAATCTGCACATTGGTAGTTATTAGAGCATTTTACTGGAAAAAAAATAAACAAACATTACCAAGACCTACATAAATGTCTTCACTACGTTCATTACCCTTAAAAACACATAGCTAGCAGACAGTTGAAAAACAGCCAATGAGCGCAAGGAAACCAAAAAAAGTCATTAAATTTTTCTGGAAAAACATCGAACTTTCGATATTCTAACTATAAAACTTGGCCTTAAAAGCTCTTTCAATGTCAACAATTTATGATTGACAGTTAATTGATTAAATTTCCCAATTTTATAGAAGTGAATCAAAAGGTATGCTGTTCGATACTTGAGTTTACCTTCGTTTTAACTATGGAAAAGAAATGAACTTTAAGAAATTAAAGGTCAAACCGCGAAAAATTAAATTTAAGTCGGGACAAATTCTAAGACTTTTCCTGAAGAAAAGCAAACTAAAAATATGAACAACTGAAAAAACAATCAAAAAACGACTGGAAAAGTGTTTACAAATATCGTATTTAGCTTTGATGAAAAAAAATTAAGACTAATATTCATAACTTTTGGCTTGATGTTTAAAAAATCCTTTATATGAAAGGACAAAAAAACATCGAGCATGATCACAGGCCAATCCATTTCACGTGTTCATATTTAAAAAAAGGTGCTGATTATTATTTAAAAAAGCAAAAAAGAAATCTACAAGTCAAAAACATAGCCAACAGACTATAGGAAAAGTATCAATGAACTCGGCAAACCGACAAAAGACGACTGATTTTTCTTGGCATTTTCAAAAACCCATATATATCCCTGAGGCTCATTGATTGTTCAAGACTCTTTTATGCCTTGGTAATTTTTGAAGAAAATCCAATTTGAGAAAAATGGATCAATATGTAGCTTTCTTTGTTCAACTCAAACCAAAAAATTAAATCCACATTCGAAACTAAACGTAATATGTTTTTTCATCGCTATTAGCAACTTTAGGCTTTTGAACATAGCCAATCGAAGATTGGAAAAGAGCAATGAACGCAAGTTAACATAAAAAACACACTGAATTCGTTGAAAAAATCTCAAAATCTCAACTTTCGAATTTCAAAGAAAAAAATGGATGCCCTTTAAGCTTTTTGAATTTCTAGAACAATTTATGATTGGCACTTTTTTGTTAACATTAACTAAACTAGAGAAAACTCGATCATCGGGTAAAATTTTTATTCCGCTGGAAATCTTAAAATTTATATTCCATTTTCAAAACTAATCGTTCACGTTTTTTTACGCCATTTCCACGTTCGTATTTGGAGAGTGCCATTTAAGTCACTTTCAGCAGATGAATTTTAATTGAACACAAAAAGTGCATTATACCTAAGTGCGTCAATAATTTAAAACTTTTTCCTGATAAAAAAAAATCAGCAAGACTTATATAAGAGTCTTCACTACGTTCATTACTCTTAATAATCCGTCATTTAGGAGCGTTATATAGCAAATGAATTTGAAAAAATCGCAAAATTTTTATACAAATCAATGGCCTATATAAGTGTCTTCACTTCGCTCAATGAAACTTGTGAAGATCGTCTTGTGAAAAAGTCGGAACACCTTGCTAAGTATTATCGTAACAAAACTTCATTAAAAATTCTGAGTCAACTGCCAGAACTAACAATTTAGAAGGTGTAGTAGGTAGACAGACCGGTTAAGCTAAAAAATCACCTAGACCTCTTAAGAGTCACTACAATCATTACTCTTAAAAACTTCTGAGGTTAAATTTCTTAAGTAAATTCAATTTAAGCCGCCAGATTGTCATAGTTGCCAGCAGTCTTAAAATACTGAGTTTTTTGGAGAAAAGAGGCAGCGTTGTTGCCATAGAATAAGCATTAAAAATTACGTAGCGTAAAATAAGCCGACAAAACTTGGCTGCCGTTCGTTGAACCAACAATGTTTTTCGACTAACTAAAAATTATCCAACGAAAAAAAAACACTTTTTCTTTAGGTTGCACTTTTGCTGCACATTATTAGCAGTCTGATAGCACGTGTTCCTCGGTTTATAACTGGCTAGTGTTTTGCGTTAACTAAAACGACAATACTGGATTAGAGTTTCATTTAAACAATAGATCAATAAAAAACTTCGAAGCTACAACAAGGGAAAATATTGCCAACAGACCATTGAAGAGGTATGAACTCAAGGGAACAAAAAAATGATTGACTTTTCCCTGAAGAATTTTCAACTTATTTAAGTTCTAAGACAAAATATATCAATTCTTTCAATTTCAGGAATCTTTTATGAGTGACACTTGTGACAAAACTAGCATATTTGGAAAAAAAACTGCTCCATGGGTAATTTAATTTATCCTGCTGAGAAATCTGATAATCGAAATTCACTTTTGAAAGTAAACTTCATTGGCAACTTTTTCCTCGTTTGCCACTGGAGAGCGTATTTAGCCCAACACTTAGCAACTGAATTAACATTAGAAAACTTTTAAAAGATCGCGAGGACAAAACGTACACGACTTAAATAAGAGGCTTCTAATAGTTCATTGAAACTTAATGAAATTAACCTAATTGAAAACCAGTATAAAAGAATAAACTTTAATTGGCTGGAAATAATTGAAATCATATCTAATGACATCCAAAAATGTCACAGCCGTAACAATCGTAAATGGTTTCACTTTTCTTCCTAAGTCATATTTCTGCTACCATAGTATAGAGAGCTTTTAGCTCACAAGTGTATTATAAAAGCTCTAGATAGCCATATCTGTCGCTGTGATAAATCACATTGTTCTTTTTCTAGAAATAAAAACTTTAAGCCGGCAATCGCAAAGAAAAGCCGGCAATAGCAATGAAAAGAAAAACTTGGTCATGTCCCATTTCACCAATAAAATGCATTGTTAATTTCACTTTCAGATTCAACATAAGTTAAAGAAACAAACCAAAATTGAGCCCTCCGACTGCAAGCTCCTCGGCTTTTGTTGACACTGAGAAGCATCTAGGGCGGCAAACTCCTGTGACATTCTTGGGCACCAAATTCTAAAACCATTCATTTGGAACTCGAAAAATTTAAGAATATGAGAAGTGCGAAGTCAACAACACAGCAAACACTCATTGCTTTCTTTTACAATTTGATTCTTTGCTAAATTTTGTTCACTGAATTGAACTGAAAGTAAAATTTAGAATTATAAAATCAGAATTTTGGATATTATTTTTAAGCTAGGCTAATATCAGAACTTCAGCTAATATTTCAGACAACGAGCAAAAATTTGGCAATCATTGATCTGAATCACATAAACAAAACACTATTTTGATTGAATTTGAAAAACTATTATTAGTTTTTTACCTTGATGAATTTGAGCTTCATCATATAGCTAAAAAAAGCAATTAATTATTTTTGAAATAGAAAACGATATACAAATATAAAGACTGACTCCGGGAGGCATAGCCGTCTCAACCCCGGCAGCGTACCAAGAAGAGAAATATCGGTACTCGTTTAGGAATGTGTTCCCACCAGACGACTTGAAATGTACTTTAAGTACTTCAAGTGGATGAAAACAAAAGAAACTTTGAAAACAATTCTTCGTGCGGCTTAATGGAAATTATCATGGTAACTGAAGTTTCTTCACTTGTCCTTCATCATATCGCCCAGTCGAATAAACCGGAGGCGACAAAAAATCGCATTGACCTGCCTCTGGACAAAAATCCACGGGTAAGGCCTATTGGCAAGGGTGAGGTTCTGATACAAATAAATGGTGGAACAATCCACCAATGTATAAAATCAGAGCTTAAAAATATCGGGAAAAAAATTTGCAGCTCTGCTTGGGCCAGAAGTGTGGAATCGAACTGTACTATTCGACAAGAATGACCCCGAAAACTTACGTCACCAACGAAATTTACCTAGAGCAGTTTTGGCGTACAACGTGTTGATTTTTACGATTAACGGTCTTATTTAATTTACCAAAATGAACAAACTGGGAAGGGTCAGTTTGGACTGACAAGATTTTATTTAAATTTTCGATTTGAGCGTGCATGACACGTAACCATTTTTTTAAGCAACAACTGAAAAAGCGAAATAAAGTGACAAAAATTTTAGTTCATTCCATTTACTGCAATTTTGAATTTTTGATGTGATTTTGTTTGCGTTTATAGGAACAATTACTTTTTATGAATTTTTTCAGCCGGCATGATTGTTTACAATCAACTGGGAGAAAGTTTCGCTTTGTGATGATATTAAGAAAGCTTGAAAATCTCTTGAAGAAGGCGACTGCTTCATTGTTCTTGTTTACCACGGAATTACTTCATTTTAATATTGAGGACCAATAACAAGTAAAATTCCAGAATAGAAAAGACATTGTAATATAACTTCAATTTTAAAGTTTGTAACAGTCGCCTACTTCGGTCACATATGAGGTTAAAGAAGAATAGGACCTATAACCATTGGCTCAAGAGTCAGGGACACTATCTCTTGTGTTTTTCTACCTCGAACGGTCGGAGCCAATTCGGTTCACTTGCGACATGAGACTAAAAACCCGTTACAGCTTAAAGGCCATTACCAAAATACCACAAGAAAAAATATCTTGAGAATTGGGGAATTAAGTTTGGTTCAGTAAGTTCTAATCGAACAAGTTTTATCTCAAGAATGGAGTTTTGGTTCTGGACCATGGGACACCTCGGTTGTCCACCTTTCCAGCGATGGTTCACTCTGGTTCAACTGAATTTCGATGTTCTTTGTTTTCTGTATCAAGATAGGACAGCTCTACTCTCGTATTATTTAGATGTCGAAAATTGCGAATAGCAATTTCCCGCTGCCTAAATTGACCACTTTCCCGCGATTGTTGTCCGTTCGTTCTTATTTTGTATTTCTGAGATTTTCAGTTTTCCCGAGAAAATTGAGCATGGCAGGCTCAATTCGAATTTTTAAAAAATTAAATTTTATCCCAAAATTACGTAGTTCGTATTCCTCAAGGTCAAATTTCCAAATATGACTGACTGGCACATACTCGCCGGACTCAAGATCGATTGCCTCATCGCGTGTTGCCCCTGCCAGTGAGTCCCCAGAACACCGAGTGTTGCTCAAGATATAGTGACAGTGGTCATTTACATAAGTTTGCAGCAGACTTAAGTTTATCTACACCCCAAAATTCACAACCATATAAAATTGTCAAAGTATCGCTGAACAGCAATCAAAATTTTCATATACCTGCACCTTAAATCTCTGCTTTTGAAGCTTATGATTAAAATTTCTTTTGTCCTATCCAATCAGGAAATTGTCATGCAACACTTTGATTTATATAATAATTATTGCATATTAATAACAATACTTTGTTTCGTTAAAATTTCTTTTTCCTGACCTTCGGATTTCATCCGAGTTTTTACTCGAGCCCCCTCCTTTCCCTCTCAAGACTCAAGAAACCCACATTGAGCTCTCTGCTCACTTTGTATTCCTAGCCTTCGAAGTGCTAGGACCCGATGAATTTGATACCGTGATCTGCCTTAGCAGCGCTTCCTCATCATCAGAGCTGATCACGGTTTCTTCCCATGCTTTCAATTGCTCGAAGAATCGCATCCAATCCTACTGCTCCTGCAACCTCATTGCTTGATTCGGTAAACCTTTCACTTTCAATTCCCTGTTCAAGCGAAAGAAATTGTGCAGGCTCAAGCTCACGTTCTTCGCCAGGTCCACCTCCAGTATCAATTCTCTTGCTTTGGTATTATCTCTAGACACCCTACCGACTCTTTTCCAACATGCCGTGATCGCATTTCGATGGGTCAGCAGAGGTTCCTTGAAGGCCAGGAAGGTCCTATTTCTGCCAGGAACTGTCGATATTTCTTCTGATATTTCTTCATGTGATCTTTCGTCGCCATGTACAAAAAGATGTCAACGTCGCTCGAAACCACGAAAAGAACCTTATGCGGCTCCATACATGCCTGACTTTCATTGGTATGGCAAATACCTTGCATGCAGTCTCAAACAACTCAATTCTCCTGCTGTAATCTATAGCGTATATCGATTCCGCCGTGGGTGTCTTCGATTCCCTATATTTCGTTACATTTTCCTCGATCCATCGCAACGCCAACATCGTACTTAATACCAAGATGGTCTTCTTCTGCTGATGATCGGGTAACCCGATTGACCGAATTTCTTCTACATCCCACACTAAACAAAGGTTTGGATGCTCCGGGTACCACACTGTCTGCGCCAAGCAATGGCATGGGCATTCCCCATGTGTAATCTCTATGCTTCGGAGATTACGTTCTCCCGAGGCTTCCAGCAGAGGCTCTAGTTCCACCATTTTCTTGTGCGTCATATCATTTTCCTCCGGCGCTGGGACACTACTCATCGGCTTCCCGATGGCATTCTGTCTCTCAAAATCACTCGTGATTTCCTCTCCTAAGCTCAAGAGTTCTGCTCCCCAGATCTCACTCAAGTCATCTCTTTGTGCCCTTGGCACCGTTCCCAGGATCTTCCTCAACAGCCTGTGTGAATGTTGCGGAATTCGAGCCAGTCGTACGCACTTGGGTACCGAGAAAGCCTAATCCACTAGTATCCTTTGGCTGGATACCTCCACCATTGCCATGTGCAATGGATAATGGCTCCCACATAGGTTGGCCATTACTGATCCCACCAAGGACTACAGGCAGGCCATAAGCTTCGCTCACGGGAAATCCCATCTCCGCCTCTAGACCAATTTTCCACCCTCTGATATGTTTCTGGGTGGTTTGCAACGCCCCCGGCCACGACTCCACGCTTAACGGACTCACCAAATGGTGTTCAGACTCCAGCATCTCCAGTGATTGCAGACTACACATTCTAGAGAAGAACCCCAGCGCCGTTGCTATATTCACTGTAGTGTTCGTATAGCACTCAGCCATTATCTGCACCTCGCTCTTCTCTCTTTCTGTTATTTCACCAAACCAAGCGACTAGGTCTTCTCTCTGGAAAGATTGTATTTTGACACTTGATCGCCCATCACAGGTGTGCCTTCCACCTCCACACGTCAAGTCAAGATAGCTGCCAGGTTCCAACTTCTTTACTGATCCCAGCTTACTCGTTGCTTCTCCCGACTTTTTACTCTGTGGTAGGATCAATTTGTGTATTACGTCCAAAGTTTCCAGATCCTCATCTTTTGTTGGTGTTAGCCTCACTCGTTCCGTGACCTCTTCAATCAAGCTCGCATGGGGATGTGGACACCAGGAGGGTCTCAGCAATTTCCAAACCGTTCCTAAATTCGTAGTCAACATGCCATTTCCATTCCCCATCCTCAATTCCACTCTTTTGCTCGAGCGCGGCACGCTTATCACCTTGGGTGTCGCCTCAAGTAGCAGGCCTAGGCTCGGTTTCTCCCTCTCCATTGAATCGATTGCGATTGTCTTCTCCGTCCAAAACTTAAACAGCTCCGTCACCTCGTGATTCCTGTGAGCGCTACCGGCCTCTGAATTCAAGAAAGGATTGTACGCTATTCCGAACACTCCAGACACGTATGGATATTCTCCCTTTTTATTGGGTCTCGAATAATCCTCAGCCAAGGCCAAGTTGCGATGCACAACATGCCCCTCTTCAAATTTCCTGATGTGGAGTCTTCGTATCTCATCAAGTTTCCCATGGTTCTCTAGAGATTGCCTCGATTCATCTTTCTTCTCGATCCCCGTACTCTGGTACACGTTCAGTATGACGGTGGAGACTCTTCTCTCCATGGTTTTGCTCCCCATGGCCTTCTGATGACACGCTTGGACGGTACTATTAGTCATCACGGACATTATTCACCTCAGAAAACAAGTGGCATTTTTTCTTCTCACCAGACTCAAACCGGAATTATCTCTCGCGACATGTTGTACCAGCATTTGATAGACTTCTAGGCTTTTGTTGCCCAATTTCAATCTGTCACGTGAAATCAATACCTCCAATTCTATTCCCACTAGGCTCCACGCGAACATCAGCTGTCCCGCTGTTCTAACGAAGTGATTTGCCATCAGAGGCAATGCTGACGAAGGCATTCTCATCGCCTCCTCAAAGTAATCCCGCAACAAGCTCTGCCAAGTCCGCTTTAGCTGATTTCCCAATTCTAACTTGTTGACTTCGGCTTTTTGTTGAGTAGCCCAATTGCGACGCTTGCGGGACACTCCATGATCGAGCTTCTTCAGACAGTCCTCCAATTCCTTCATAGTCTCTTGGGCCACCCACCAAAATCGAGCCGTATTCCTTGTCGCATTCTTTTCAAGAGGGTCGTTGGTCACTTGTTTGCCAATAGCCTGATATTCGCTCGAGATCAATTCTTTGCCAACATCCACTTCCCCTGTTTGTCCATTCGTCGAACCCTTTTTCGAGCCTGCCTTCTGATTTCTGAAACCTTCTTCCGTTACCAGACTTGTCGAG